AAGCTATTTTTATTTTTAAATCTATAACAAATTCATATTGAAGCACATATTTATGCAAATACATCTTTTCACGTTTCTGTGTCCTTACAAAGACATAGATGAATGTACAGATGAGAAGCCATGTGGAGAAAATACAGTCTGCACAAACACAAATGGGAGCTACTACTGCCAATGTGAAGGTGGTTTCAGACACCCAACAGGGAAGGTGAATTTTACAGTTGGTGCATGTATAGGTAAGTCATCTCAAATTTATGGTGATAACAACTCTGTGGTTGGTTTGGAGAAAGTTTATGTCATACAGTCATAATGTATGTAAAGATGAAAGGTCTCTTCTTTTTTTTAAAGATATTAAAGAATGTTTGGAAATCAAAGACATCTGTGGACTTAACGCCAAATGTAAGAATGCAATCCCCTATTACTCGTGCACCTGTGATGATGGATTCATTTCTACTACTGGGAATAAAACCTTTCGTCATGATCAAAATGCTACATGTGAAGGTAAAATGTTGCTCTCATTGGTGCTGCCATTTTAGAGTGAGCTCTTCAGTTTAAGGTGATGGCAGAGGATTTTTTTTCAGAGGTATTCTTACATGTCTTCTTCCTGCTGCTCTAGATATTAACGAATGTCATAAAGGAAATCCCTGTGGTCAGAATGGATTATGTAACAACACACAAGGCAGTTATTACTGCATGTGCAACGCAGGGTTCACTAACTATGGCAACAAAACGGCACGCTGCACTGGTGAGAATACAATAAAAACTGAACTTTGCCAAGATCCATTTTAATCTGATTTTCTTCAAAGTAAATGCATGAACAGAACACTTCAAGAAAACTTTGGTCATCAGTAAAAACATTTAATACTTTATTTCCTCAGAATTAAACTGTGATGTTTTCAAAGATATAAATGATGTGAAAGAGGTAACTCCACACAAGACACAGTTATGTCACGAGTCAAAATATACTTGAAATGCGTATTATCTCATAGATTTATTTTATCATCCTCCAATCCCTCTTCTAGAGATTTCATATTGCAGATGGCTTAGTGAATTACATGGAAAAAACCTGTCAGGAACTCACAAACAACAAAAGACCGGTAGAGCTGAATGGAGAGGAGACTCTAAAGGTACAACTAAAGTAAACTGTAGTGTTTTGTTTTTTTGGAGGGGGGTGGAAGGGGGGATATGGTGTTCAGATTTCTTGTAGACTGTTGATGTTGACCCCAATATCAAAGTCTGCCTCAGTCTGACTCTTTCTTGTTTCACCCTGCTGTTACGATTATGTCCAGAAACATTTGGACAGTAACAGATTTCTAAGAAATATTGTTCTGTACTGCAATAGATTTTTAATGAAACATTTAAATGCAATTAATGCAATTAAAATGTGTGCTTTCAGCTGTAATTCAAGCTAAAGAAAGTATTACATTAACTCCTAAAGAATGATTGCATTGTTCACACATAATCACAAATATCTCTTTTTTTGTCTTAAATGCTGAGTGAAGAGCATTCACAATCTGGCCTTTTGTGTAGTCTTTGTGGGGTTTTTTTTCATTGTGCTAGGCTTGGATAACTAATTTGTAAATATGATATGCCAACCTACTAGAGCGTTTTCTTCACTTGCTGGATGTTAAGGTGTTCTTTTACTGGGTGAAAAGTTTTCAGCAATCATCCAACGCTGTTGTCTTCTGCTGCCTTTTTGTGTTGCTTAGCTCATCATTTCATTCTTTTGTTTTATTTATTTGAGATAGAATAAAGCCCCCTGTAACCCTGAATGTGTGTCTGCATGTCTGCCCGTGTGTAAATATTGCCTGACTTAAGTGTATTTTACTCCATCTTCCTCTCTTCTCCTGTGCCTGTAGAGATTCCTGAATATGACTGATGAGCTCTTGTCCAGTGCATTTCTTAATTATAAAAGGAAAGTTTCAGACTTTCTTGACTTGGTGGGAAATGCTCTGAGACTCATAGGACCCTTCACTAAATCTTCAAGGATTTATATCTCCTCAACCCAGACAGGTTAAATAGAAATTCGAAGAAAATAAATCAATTCACTTTTAGATGATTTTTTATTGATATAATTTTAGGAAACCAGCAATGCATGTTCAGAAAAGTCTGTCTGGTTTCAGAGCTGGACATGTTTGTACACAAGGGGCCTGTTATACCTAAAGGAAACATAACATTATCAACTAAGCATGCTAACTTGGACATCCAGATGGAGATAGCTACTGGAGATCCTGCCTATTACCCCGGTAATCATATGCCAACAAATACTATATTTCTAACCAATTTCATCAAATTATGAGCCCCTCTAATGATGCTCTCCTTTCATTCTTACAGGCTTTACAACAGTGTCCTTGATGAGCTATTCAAACCTGGAAAACTCTACAGATGGCTTCTTTGATGGGATGAAATCACAAAAGAACCAGAGCTTTAAGATAAACTCCAAAGTGGCGACTGTCACTGTCAGCAACAGAAATACAAGCCACCTCAAAACGCCAGTTAACCTAACTTTAAACCACCTAGAAGAACAGGTAGAGGTTATCTCTCATTTGTTGTTTCAGATTGTGGTGATCACTTTTGCCAAAAAAAAACCCCACATATATTTGTTTTATAGGCAAATCAGACATTCCACATCTGTGTGTTCTGGGATTCCTCAGTGAATGGAGGATCATGGTCTGATCGTGGTTGCGGTGTGGCAGAGTCAAACCTGGAATATACTTCCTGTTCCTGTAACCACCTGGGAACCTTTGCTATATTCACGGCTTACAATGAAATTAAGGTTTAAACTAATTAACTGCAACATTTAAACTTCAGACTATTTAGTAGTTAAACCTTTAATCCACTTTCATGTACTTTCATTTACTTTCCCAACAGGAGAAGTTTGAGTTTCATCTGATCATATGGGTGTTCCTGTCCATTTCACTGATTTGCTTATTCATCTCCATCTTGACATTCTCAATGATCCGCTCTATTAAAAGTCCAAGAACCACCATCCACCTGCATCTCTGCATCAGCCTCTTCATTGCAAACCTTGCCTTTCTAGCAGGAATCTCTCATTTTGAGAACCAGGTAAATACTAACTGTGTTTGAAGCTCAGATGAATGCAGATCCAGAATTTTTTACTTAACTTGAATTGTGATGTAAAGGGACAAAATGAGGAAAAGAACAGAAGTTTAGTAAGTCTAGTTCGGCAATATCTCATCTCTTCCCCATTAGGATAGCTGCACAGTGGTGACAGGGATCCTGCATTTTTCCTATCTGGCAACATTTTTATGGATGTGTCTGGACAGTGTACAACTGTTCAGGATGATAATGCTTGTTTCGAACACCAACTTTAAAACCCTCCACATGATGGCAGCTGCCTATGGAGTTCCAGCTGTTATTGTTGCCATCTCTGCCTTAGCTAATTCCAGGGGACATGGCACTGAGAGATAGTAAGTTCCCTCTATTCCTAAAATTTTATCATCAATTTATCCTTGAATCTCTATTTATCTTAACTCTTAATGTGCATTTCAGCTGTTGGGTAACCCAGGGATTTATTTGGAATTACTTTGGCCCTGCATGTGTAATCATCATTGTAAGTAAAGTTGAAATCAATTTAGGGAAATGAGTAAAATGATGTGTAAAAAAAAAAGCTGATTTAAACATAAATGTTGCTTTTGTTGTTCATTTGTTTTTGCTTTTTCAGGTAAACATTTTCTTCTTTTTCATAACTGTATGGAAGTTAGCACAGAAGTTCTCAAGTGTAAACCCTGACCTGGATGACCTGCACAAAATAGAGTAAGTTACCCATAAGCTGCGCATAGAAATCACTATCATGATCCTGTTGAGTTTTGGTTGTGCTGTTTAGATTATTTCTTACGTTGCTTTAGAATTTTTTATCTAGGTTTTGGATTTTTGTTTTGGGATTGGTCCGTAGCCAACAAAGGCTGATTTTTCAATCGGTCATTCATTTTCTTGCATGCATGTTTTCTGCAGGGCATTCACCATTAGTGCAGTGGCTCAGCTATTTGTATTGGGCAACACCTGGATCTTTGGTTCTTTCCAGTTTCAGGAAAACCATACAGCCATGGCTTACCTCACCATCTTTGGCAGCCTGGAAGGAGTTACACTCTTTGCAGTGTATTGTCTGTTTTCCAGGCAGGTTAGTAATATTCATGCTTAACTAAATAAGAAGTTCTTGCCTGTCGGTAAAATTTCATTTATATCCTCATTTTAGGTGAGGGAAGAGTACAAACACGCCTTGACCAGAATGTGTGCTCCTCGGAAGAAGAGTGACAGAAAAGCTCGTGTAAGCAGTTATTTACAGAAATTGATGGCACAGATTAACATTTGATCGGCAGCGGTACTGCCGCAAACTATTCCTGAAGTTTCATTTTGAACACCTTCGAAATTTGACCATTTTGTTTGTTTGATAAGCTGTTCTGAAGGACATCAAGATGTGAAGTGAATAAGATCCTTTGGTTATAATGAAAGACATTTTTGATCATTTTTTGAATAAGAATATTCTTCATTTTGTCATCATCAGGTTTCGAAGAGTGCCCAGGATACAAGAGAATGTCAACTTTGAGGAGCTAGAAAGTAATATATATATATGTGTGTGTGTGTGTGTGTGTGCATATACATTTATATCACCTGCCAGATAAAAACTGCTGACATATATATTTCAGTTTTTGTACTGGACAAATATCTCTTAAGCAATCTTATAAAAGTGGAGGGATGATGACTTTGTATACTTGCTGATATCTGTAGAATTCCCCTGGTCATTTCTGAAGCGGAAATTTCTGAAGATGTCAAAAGGGTTTTTGTACCAGGCTGTAAATATGCTTTTTAATGCTATAAAATTTGCCTTTTTAACATAGTCTATGCAGACTGACTCCCCTTTTGGAATCAACTTCTTGTGTCATCTAGAGGAACTGCAATAGTTGCAATTTCTGCTTTGACTTCATTTTCAAGCAGCCGAGGTTTACCCTAACCTCAGTCATATTTACCATCACCCTGTTGTTGGTTAAACTAATCATCTTTTTTTTTTGCCTGAATTTATATTCAGTTAACTGTTGGTTCTGTAATGTTGTTGTGTTACCTACCACTAGTTGGGGCTCCCACTCCCTTCTCTGTACAGGGAAAATATAAAGGGTGCAGCACTTGAGAAGTTCTATGTATGCTTTCAGAGTAAATTGAAATATAACCACTCAGCAGAAACTACATGCAACATGCGGATGCTAGCTCACCAGAAAGGAAGGCTGATGGTGTTTGCAGATAAGACAGTAACACTAACAGTAACTTCACTCAGGACACACATCTGGCATCCTGTGTTTGAAATATTATGAACAGTGAAGGTCGACCAGGTTCATTTTTCTTTTGTGTAATACAGTTGCAAAGAGCATTTATAATGTACAAATTAAGAAATATGAATAATTAGGTATCCTTGTTTTGAATGAGAGCTTTTGTGATTTGTTTATATTACATTTTGACACCAATATATAATTTATGTAATATCTATCTATATCTATAGATGCAAATATATAGACATGTATAATGTGCAACATGATTTTTTGAAATAACATTGAATAAATGAAATCTGTGTTTGCAACAAACTTTTTCTCTTCTGTGTTCAAGGTGATGGCTTAAGATTTTTTTTTCTCAGCTCTTCTTAAATGTCTTCTTTCTGCTCATCTAGACATTAACAAATTTCAAAAAGGAAATCTCTGTGTTCACAATGCATCATGTATCAACACACAAGGCAGTTATTACTGTTTCTGCAATGCTGGCTTCAGACTAAAATCTGGCTGATTTAACTTGTCTGGGAATCTGGAAAAATAAGGGGGTGAGGGCTGAGTATGACATAATGCAGCAAAATGTTTATCGTCTCTAGGCATTGTTATATAACAATATAATTAGATTTGTAATATTTAGAAAACTACTATAGGGGTTGATTACATTAAATTGTAGAAGCTTAATTTTCAGACAGCTGCATGCGATCAGAAAGAAAAGCACGCACAAACCTGGAAGAGTTGGCCAGATTTGTAGTGAAATGGCTGGCAATGGACAGATGCAACGGTATTGATGATTACACCCTTGTTTAATAAAGAGGATGTATGTTGTATCACAAAACACAATAAGACAGCTCATCAATTTGTTCATCTACACGGGGCATTTTGTAGAGGGTAGCAGATGTGGCAGTTTGTCTTGAAACAACAAATGTAATCTCCACATTATGATGTTTTTCTCAAAATAGAATTATTACTTTAATCTCATTTTTTTAACTTTAATCTCAAAACCCATCCATCCATTCTTTCCCACTAAATGATCAATAATATTTTTGTTCTTAATAATGCCCATTTTCACTGCAGAAATGGAACCATTTTGAGCCAGTGACAATACAAAACAACTGAACTTCTTTTGTGAATTATCTGAAATAAATCTCTCAGGAGCTCAGAGACAGTAAGAAATCAGTGGACCTGAATGAAGAGGACATTCTTTGTAGGATAGAGTCTGGTGACCCTATGGATGGATGTTGGAAAACTGTTCGTGTTGCGCTGGCTATTTCTTTCTGATTAATTTGTTATGACTCTAATTAATAAATTAATAAATAGACAAAGGGCATTAGTAAAGGTGACTGGGTAGAAAAATAGGAATAATTATAATAATGTTTTAATTTGTTCATTTATTTATTTGTTGAGTCGCTTGAATTAAAGCTGAGTTTCATTAGCTTAGCTTTAACTTGTTGCATTCTCATCTATTGAAAAACAGAAATAAATTATTTAAAATTGTGTCATGGGCTAAATATTTTCTGACTTTAACTGTATTTCACTCCATCTCCTTCTCTTCTCCTGTGCCTGTAGAGATTACTGAATTTGACTGATGACCTCTTGCCCAGAGCAGTCCTCAATTCTAAAAGGAAAGTTTCACATGTTCTGGTCTTAGTGGGAAATGCTCTGAGATTCATAGGGCACTTAACTACCACTTCAGAGATTAATATATGTTCTACTCACAAACATTAAATAGGGGTAAATCAGTTGAATTTTTGACCATTCGTTAAGTAGAATTCAACCTTTAACTTATATTTTATACAGTATTAGCAAAGAAGCAACGCATGTTCAGAAAAGTCTGTCTGGTTTCAGAGGCGGACCTGCTTGTACATAAGGGGCCTGTTATATCCAAAGGAAGCACGGCTTTATCAACTAAGCATGCTAATTTGGACATCCAGATGGAGATAGCTGCTGGAGATCCTGCCTTTTACCCTGGTAATCACATGCCAACATATACTGCATTTCTAACCAATCTTGTCAGATTGTAACCCACTCCAGTCACATTGTGATTTTATTGCTACAGGCTTTACAGCCGTGTCATTGATGAGCTACAGATACTTTCTTTGATGAGATGAAATCACAAAAGAAAAACAGCTTTAAGAAAAACTGCATATATAAGATTTTTTTTAGGCCCAAAAAATGATGGTTTCTTCAAAAAGAATGTGGAACAAAAAAACTGTCAAACTTGATTGCTTGTGAAGAAATAATATCATTTTTAATTTGGTGCCAAGAACACACTGGCACAAAAAATTGTGAGACTAAAAACGTTATATAAATAAACATTATATATATAAAAACTATTACAGCAGTTCTTCCCTTCAGTGTCCTAACACTTACACTTACAGTGCTTTTAAAAGAATCCTTGATGCAACACAGAGAATATTCAATTTTCAAAACTTTTATTTCACATCGTGTGTGTTTGTGTCTGCGTGTGTTACTTTTTACACAGCACTCAAACTTTCTTGGTAACATGACTTTACACAAAGCTTGTTACATCAATTTCCTTTCAATTTCATTTTTGTTTATTTATTTTTCAAAAGAAGCTTGAAGAGATTAAACAGATAAAGCAGAGCTCCACACAGGGTAACATAATAATGCTTTTTGTGGCATCCACAATTTTCTCCAGAAGCACCTTCTGACATGTCTTTCAATTAGTCAGAATTGTATTTTAATGTTTTTCTGTTTACATTTTCAGAAGCTTTAAACTGAATACATATTCTCTGTAATATTTTAGGCCTTTGTGTATTGACATTTCCGACTTCATTCATTTTATTTTATCTGGAAAATAAAAACAGTGGAAGGATAAAGAGTTCTATTTTTCTTTAGTCGTTTAGCAGAAATAAAATAAATAATTCCGCTTCCATTCAATGACATTTTCCATCTTTCCCCTTATGTTTCTTAGATCTGAGGGTTCAACTTCAAAGACTGAAATAGTTATACTCAGAGAGGAAATGGGAGACTGTCTCCACTTCCTTCCTGTTTACGTAAGATCACAGATAACAACTCTGAACAACTCTGAAGTCTACACATAGGTTTATGAATAATGCTGTTTAAGTTATCATTGCAAATTCCTTGTTTAGAAAATGTTTAAATACATGTCTAAAATACTTTTTCAATAATATAATTTTTAATATGTGAGATACCTGTTAGGATGTTGTTTAGCATGTGATGGTGCATCTAAGTATCTAATTATCATCTACTCTTTCAAACTCTTTTGATGATTTTTGTCTGGTGTATAAATGCTGGAATTTGAGGAAGAAAATATTAGTGAGGACTAACATTTTTTGAGCTCTACTCTGTTCCAAATGAGTATCTCTTACGAGTAGATTAGAGGACATGTTCAGACGGGAAAGAATAGTATGCAGAGAAACCTGTCTGCAGATAGAGAAAGAGAAAGGTAGACCAGGCAGGAAGAGGAGCTTTCAGAGGACAAGAAAAAAAATTAGGGGAGGGGAATGAAAGTAAATAACCGTAGGCAACTGTGATCATACTGTGATTTGGTACATGAGGCATCTGTGTTATCAAGAGGCACATTCATCATCCTTCATTCCTTTTGAGTGTTCATCAAAGGAGTCTGAAGGTAAGTTAATGGCAATTTACTACATAGAAATAATACTATACGTTTAGATACATTCCCCTCTACTGAAATAATTTAAGCAAAACGTGATTGTGGGGAGATCTTGGCAAGAAATTTCTTTAAAAAAAGAAATAAACACTCTCCTTTACAGTGTTGCTTCAGTTCATTTATGCAAAGCTCTCTTAGAGGAGTTGAGGTCTGAATTTTGACTGGGGCATTGCAGCACTCTGTTTTGTTTTCTTTTTCAGCCGTTCTAGTATAGATTTGCTCCTGTACTTCAATCAAGCCTGTTGCATGACCCTATTTGAGACATGTTTTAAGCATCATTAGTCTACATCATTCATTAGGAATAAAAGCAGGGTTTTATCTACTGTGTTTCATTCTTGCCAAGGAATAGAGGCTCATCTAAATGCTCTTTAAATCCCATTTGTCAGAAACATACCACTTATTATTACTTTGAGCTGCCCAGTAAAGCATGTATCTACTGAGTTTTTGTTTGTTTGTTTTTAACTTCTCTGATGTGTTGTTGTCTGCGATTTACTTGAGATATCTAGATGGCAAAACAGGTTGAAATTAGCTAAAAAAATTGTAGACTTTAACTAATGCATGTTCTTTTAAACTTTTTCATAATTTTTCTTTTTGTAGGTATCAATGGAAATGATGACAACTTGCCATCTGAATCAGACATGTGGCCAGCCGAATAGTAGCGTCCCACCTCCCATGAGCAATTCAGGCTTAGCAATATCCTGCTTCACAATGTTATTCGGCACCATCTCCAACCTTGCTGCACTGAGCATCCTGGCTAAGTCTCGTGGTAGATTCTGCCGCCAGTCCAAAGCACCATTCCTACTTCTAACAGTGGCTTTGCTTTTGGCTGACCTCGGAGGTCATGTGATCCTAGGTTCCTTTGCACTGTATCTCCACATGAATCATCAGTATACTATGAAACTATGTGATGTCTTTGGAACAAATATGGTGTTTTTTGGCCTGTGCCCTTTGCTGTTCGGTTGTGTTATGGCAGTGGAGCGCTGTGTGGCCATCACTAAGCCATTTTGTCGTTTTAATATGATTACTGTGGCTCATGTGGTACGGGTGGTGTTATTCCTTTCCGCTCTTGCACTTGTTCTGGCAATTCTGCCTTTACTCAAAGTAGGGACTTATACTATCCAATATCCATGCACCTGGTGTTTTTTGAGAGTTACTTCTCCATGTTTTGCAGCTGACACTTACCTGGCTTTGATTTTCTCATGTCTGGGCCTCACTGCGCTCACCCTTTCCCTGTTCAGCAACATAATGAGTGTTGCCTCATTGGTGCATGCCAGAATGAAGACCCCCAATGGTCAAACAAACCACACAACCCGCTTTGGTCGTCATGAATCACGTACATCATCTTCTTCGCTGTTTTTTTCATTGGATATAGAGGTAATGGCGCAACTGGTAGTCATCACTGTTGTTTCCTGTGTCTGCTGGAGCCCCTTCCTTGTGAGTGCTGCTTTTGTTATTCTGAAGACTTTTTTTCTACAATAATTTAGATATGATTTATTTTAATATTAGATCTGATTAATAAAAAGGGACAAAGAATAAATAACACATCATAATTGTTTTCTCTCATTTTTCTCCTACATTTTAGATCCAAATTCTTCTGATGCAGCTCAAGCAAAGCCCTGGAACATCAGCTCAAAAGCTCATCTATGTGGCTTTATGTATAGCCTCCTGGAATCAGATCTTAGACCCCTGGGTTTACATCTTACTGAGGAAGACAGTGCTCTTCAGAGTTTGTGGACAGAGATGGACCCTGACAAGAACATAGTTCCACTATTTGCATTAACTATATTACTCATGGACTTTTTGTATAGAGAACATAGATACTTTCTATTTATTAACAAACCAAGAGCTTATTTACACAAGCAGTTAGTGAATAAGAGATGGAGGCGGACTTGAACTACATTTCACAACATTTAGTAGTCTGTACCGGTTCTGTCATCAATAGCAGCTACTTGCAGATTGGCCAATGGGGCGGTATTAAATTTGACCAATCAAAATTGAGAAAAGCTTGACAAGCAGTGAGTTTAACCAATAGCGGACCTGCAGGAGAAGGTTAACGCCCGTGGTGGGTGGTGCTTGTGTGGCAGCGACTCTGTTCAATATGGAGTACAGAAAATAGCCACATTCAGCTGGAGTTTAACTGTTCTCATTCACATTTGTGCCACTTGGGCACAAATTATAATCGCAGGCTCGTAGAGGACACGTGACTGGACTCGCTAACGTATGTTTGACATATTTATAGATGTACTTTGAATAAACTAATAAATACTTGAGCACAACTGCGCTGTAAGAAGTAAAAGTGTGCTAAGACTTGGAAAAAAAATAATACGGATTTTCCTGAAAACGCTTCATTGGGGACTTTCTCGACGCTCCCAACAAACGGAAGGACGATTTGAAATACCGCTGGTTTTCTAAATAATAAGGCGGGCCGACCTGCGAGGTTATCGGGTGAAAGGTGACAGTGCTTCTGTCTAATTGACCTGTAGGTAAGTTATGCGTTTAAAGTTTGTGAGTAAACAGTGGTTCTTTAAATGCCGCTTGTTCACACACGATGCTTAAATTTGAGCTGAATTCCCTTTAAAAACGTAATCTCCGTTCAGTGGAGTAATGCGTTAGTTACAACCTGCAAAAGTTTCTCGTGTGTACTGACCTGCAACTGTAGTACTTTAAGCCTCCAGAGTGGAACTCATGTAGGCTTTAGCTCAAGCCACTTCTTTCTGCTAAACGCTTCGTCTTTCTCCTTTTATACTGTGACAAGAATGCACAATGCAGCGAGTGTTTCAGCCTCTCTGGGGTCCATGGGACTGTGCCGTCTCTTCGGGGTGTCCTGGCCCTGGAGTCTGGCAGCAGGTCTTGGGGTATATCTAGGCACAAGCAGCTGGAAATACTTCTACATTGCAGCACGCACGGCCAAGAGAGACCTCAAGTAAGTTAACGACATCTACATCAAGTTGGGACTCATTTGCGTGTATATCTGTATACATCTTTGTGCTTAGACCTGATTTTTCTTGTCACACTCCCCCAGTGGCTTGTATGTGCTCATGAGAGTGAAGCTGGCCTTATGGCGCTACATGCACCATGGAAGCAATATTCCTTCCATTTTCGCCCAGACAGTGAAACTCCACCCAAATAAACCAGCTCTCATCTATGAGGCCACAGGAGAAATGTGGACCTTCACCCAGCTGGATGAGATATCAAATGGAGTCGCCCATTGGGCGAGAGGTCAAGGATGGGTCTCCGGAGATGTTGTGGCCCTTTTCATGGAAAGTAGGCCATTACAGGTGGCACTTTGGCTGGGTTTAGCCAAAGTTGGAGTGGAAGCTGCACTCATCAACTTTAGTCTCCGCTGTGATCCTCTTCTGCACTGTATCGGGGTATCAGAGTCACGGGCGATTGTGTTCGGAGCTGAGCTGGTGGATGGTAAGAATGTAGAGATGATGTAGAGAGAGCTGATCATAAAATGAGTATTTGTTTTAATTTTGTATAAATGGAGCTGTTTGTATAAATCTGTGATGCAGTATTATACTGTCAGCAAGGGACAGGTGTTATGTTTGCACCCACAATACAGCTAGTCTCAGCTACAGATTCCTTGCTTGATATCTGTAACGGTATAGTAGATGGTCATCTTAGGTGGTGTCGTTGTTAACACTCAATCTGTTTTAGAATATGTTATTAATCCCTAAGGAAATGATGTAGTTACAGTTGCTCCAAGACAATAAGAACAGTAACAGACTGAACTAATCTAAAATATTACAAAGTATAAGAAATAGCTCAATTATAAATATCCAGAATATTACAGAGATTAAATATATGAGTGACACTGTACTCTAAACTTTAAACTGTAAAACTTTATTTTGTTATTGTCACTGTAGAGCATATGCAAATATTAAGGCTTTAACTATTGCACTGTGTACTGTGCATTAGATGGAGAAATTGTACCGAGAGAGAGCCTCAGGCAGGAATGATTTCCTGTGTGGTTCAGTGGTGCATTTAGGTAATCTCAGTCTCTCACTGAACGTGCTCCTGTGACTGGGCACTCATGGAGTGGGTGGAGGGTATTGTCCAGAATTGTCCTTATCTTGGACAACATCCGCCTCTCTGACAACAAGGGAGTCCAGCACCGTCACAACAATATTGGCAGTATCCGCATCTGCGACCCTCAGCCTGCTGTAAAACAAACAATAATAATGACAGGGCCTATGAAATGTAAGACGAGTTGGACCTGTTGTTGGCATCCATGCTGCCAGTGAAATTCTTGGTGAAGCTAGTTAACGCAGTTTAAATACAACTTCTAAAAGCCAGAGACAATACCTGATATGAATTTGGCTGATCTCTCCTTCAATTGTGCAACCTTGAGCTCTTTAGTTAGTTTCCAGTGTTATTTTTAAATCACTTAGTGGAGGTCCTATTCTGATCATTTACAAGTGGCATGGATCCCATGAATCTCAAACTTGCACAGAGAGAAAACATCAGCAACTGTGTCAAACTGGCAAATGCCAGGAATTTTTGGCTGTACATACACAAGTATGTGATTAGATTCCCTGCAACTTTCCCCTTTACCAAAGTGGAATTCAAGTTAAAGGGCGAATGAGAATCCCAGAAAACCAAGTGATCAAAACATAAGTGTTCAGAAGTGATCTAATAATAGCAGATTGTGGTGAATTACTACCCAAGGTTATGACCTTGAAGAGCACTAGCTGAATTAAAATCATCTAATGGTGTTGGACAACTTTATGATCACACACATACAATCTAGAGAGTCTGAACTGAGCTGACTTATATCCCCTTTTTATATCTAACTATGTTTCTTCCTGAATGCCAGCTATGTTGGACATCAGTTCCACCATGAGCCAGTCCATGGTACGATTTTGTACAGGAGACCTCAGTGCAGAACAGTTAGCCTGTCTTGCTGCTCAACCTCTGGACCCTATTTTAGCTGCTGCACCTAAACATTCCCCTTCGCCTTGTGTTCCCCCTAAAGGAATGAATGGTGAGTATCTCACTAAACTCAGCTCTCACTCTGACACTTAATCTGTATGTTAATGAGTGACTCCATTTCAGATACCTTCTTAAACAATTTCCTTACAGTGTGTGTAGCTGTTAACCTTTGGTTCTTGGTTGATTCTGAATTCCCAAAGTGTATGCGCCATAGTAATTCATTTTTCTCACACTGCTATTTCAAAACTAAAATTACTTTCCAGTAATTATATATCTCAAGCCTGATAAGGAAAATACTTGGCTAATAATGTGAGTCATTTTATGACAGTTGCATTTATTTTTCTTAGACAGCTGTCTGGAGCAGATAAGAGTGACTTGCTTGCACTGTCCAGTCTGGATATTAATAAACCATTTCCTAGCCCAGTGGTAAATCTGTCTTAGATGAATTAACATATAAGCCAGTATTAAAGGTGTGAGCTTCAGATATACCTTACATAACAGTTCAGATGAAATTGCAAAGGGAAATATTAAGCAAAGTAGAAACGATGTCTGCATTTTCAGTTCTTTAATGCATTGGTTTCCAAAATGCCATCCCAGCAGTAAATAAAACACTATGTAAATTTGCAGGGTGCATTTTTATGCTATATTCTATTGTTTTGCAGACCGCCTATTTTATATTTACACCTCGGGGACCACAGGATTGCCCAAGGCTGCCATTGTGGTTCACAGTCGGTATGTTTTCTTGAAGAATCACTACCAAAAGAAAAAAAAAATCACCTTTCTTCAAAGTTAATACATTTAATGTTTATCTGGGAATCTCTGTTTTCTTTGACAGCTATTACAGAATTGCTGCTTTTGGGTATTTTGCCTTTCGCATGCGCTCTGATGACATTGTCTATGACTGCCTGCCTCTCTATCACTCAGCAGGTATGTGGTGCTAGTCTACAGATTTTTAATGACTACAGTTTCACCTTCAAGGTTTGATCAAGTTTTCTTCTCTTTCCAGGAAACATTATTGGAGTTGGCCAATGTCTGATCCACGGCCTCACTGTTGTAGTGAAGAAAAAATTCTCTGCCAGCCGCTTCTGGGAAGATTGTATTAAGTACAACTGCACTGTAAGCACCTATTGATTTCATTAGTATGGCATTTATAATAGTTTTTTTGAAGTTATTCATAAACCATGAGGTTTTGAACAATAAGATTTTTTTTTTTCTTCCCTCGGCTTGTAGGTGGTGCAGTATATTGGGGAAATCTGCCGCTACCTCTTGTCTCAGCCCGTGCGGCCAGCTGAGAAGCAACACAAAGTACGGCTTGCTGTGGGAAATGGATTGCGCCCCAGTGTTTGGGAAGCCTTCATGGAGCGTTTTGGGGTGGCGCAGATTGGCGAGTTCTATGGGGCCACCGAGTGCAACTGCAGCATTGCTAACATGGATGGCAAGGTCAGCAACTACCATGTAACTTGACATGCATGTCCTCACTATTACAATGTTAATTGGATCAGAGTTTAGCTAATTCTATCCTGCCAGGTGGGAGCCTGTGGATTCAACAGCCGTATTCTTCCCAATGTGTACCCCATCCGTCTGGTGAGGGTTGATGAAGACACTATGGAACTTGTTCGGGACAGCCGTGGGTTCTGTGTGCCTTGCCGCCCTGGTACTGAACATCTATACAGCAGTTACAACTTGAAGGGTTTTGGGAGTCTTTGACCTATGCTGGTCTTCTTAGAGTGCTAAATTATAGTCCTCCATGCCTTGCAGGGGAACCAGGCCTTCTGGTAGGCCGCATCAACCAACAAGACCCATTAAGGCGTTTTGATGGCTATGCTAACCAGGATGCTACAAAGAAGAAGATCGCTCACAATGTCTTCAAGAAAAATGATTCTGCTTATTTATCAGGTTGGGAATAATTTTTGTTTGATGCACCTATAAAGAAATTATTGTCCCTCGTCTTTTCTAAACAAACATTCATGAAGTCTACTGCAGTTCAGTCGACTTGGCAGGAAATAGATTAAGTTCATTCAGATCATTCAGATCACCTGGAGTCATTTCTCCCTGTTACCTGGCAAAATCAGCAAATTACCATATGATCAAG